TTGTGACAGAGAAGAGGGAAGGGAAGGTACACTGGATTATAGGTACACTGAGTAGGTACCAGACGTCTGCTGGATGTGCTGTGATAGCTGAGAAGAAGAATACCAATTTCTGCCAAGGACATATGGAAAATTTTCTTTTCCCCATATGTTCTTGGAATCCTTGTTAAAATCATTTAAAACAGCAAATCTGATAGAAAAGCTAGCCACTAAGAGACTTGCGTGTAGCAAAGCATACTGTGTAAAAGTATTTTTCATTCCTGGGAAATAAACTGGGATTTAGGCTTGGACAGAATCCAGAGGTTTCTTTTGGCATAGTTGATTACAACATCTAAGAAGAGGGGATTTTTACAGGAATTTTTTTCAGTTTTATATTCTTTTTCATGACTGGAAAGTCTCTAGTTTGACAACCAACAGAGACCTTCAGGAACAGATGGCTTAAGTTTGCTTGACACATTTAGCTTTTCTCATTATGAACATTGACGCCGTTTTTTCAATAACTGCCGGGTCCTGTGTGATCTGATCCTATGGAAAGGAGATACAGGTGTTCTCCAGAGGTTTGCAGCACAGAACTCTGAGGTGAGTACTGTCCTAGCCCTCGAATGCCACCCTGCCTGCTGCTCTCAGGACAAGCTGGTGGGGTCCCTTGCTGCAGAGCATCTAAGATTGCTGGCCTTTGACTGTGTTGTCTTCTGGAGTCCATTGGTAGAACAATACTTAAAGCTGTAGACTTCAAGTATTGTTATTGAGCCGGTCAGTCTTATTAGATGCTTGTAGGCTGATTGATAGAGTACACTTAGCTTGATACTAGCAACAAATAAAACTCTTTATTTAATTTAACTTAATTTAATTATTTATGTTTTTTAAGACAGAGTCTCAAGCTGTGGCCCTGGGTAGAGTGCTGTGGTGTCACAGCTCACAGCAACTTCCAACTCCTGGGCTAAGTGATTCTCTTGTCTCAGCCTCCTAAGTATCTGGGACTACAGGTATCTGCCACAATGCCTGGCTATTTTTTGGTTGTAGTTGGTATTGTTGTTTGGCAGGCTTGGGCTGGATTTGAACCCACCAGCTGTGGTGTATGTGACTGATGCCTTAGCTGCTGAGCTACAGGCGCCGATCCCAAATAAAGCTGTTTAAAGTTGCTGTGGTGATCCTTCTGCATATGGATTGGCCCTCAGGACATGTGCTCTTCTTTAGCTGGTGACAGAGTAAGCTTCATATGAGAGCTGCGATGGCCCCACAAAGCTTGCTGGTTTTCTTGATTTTATTGAAGGAATCAGCATTTGTTGATGCTGAAGTTTATGTAAAGTAAGTAGATTTTTAGGATTTTCTTGAAATTTTATGATTTGCTAAGAGAGACTCTTATTGGGAAACTTGTTGAGGCTTGAACATTACTTGCTGAGAGTATCTTATAATATTTTCGTGACAGAGTGTAGTAAGGTCAGGAACACAGGTGGAGGATGCTGAGGTGTTCATTTTTCCTGAGTAAAAAGTGAGCAGCAGCAGAATCTCTCCAGCCCTTCCGTGATGTCTTTTCACCAGTGGACTGCACCTCTGTCTGCCAGCCTTCATGTCTGTTGTAACTGCAGATACACCTGCGTGAATTCCTTGTGTTACATCTGAGAGGTGGAAATACATGGGGAAGGAAGCATGGGTCCCGTCATGTATGTGGATGGTGTGGCTGCACTGACCCTGATTGGGTGCCATTGGCCAGATCAGAACCCTCTTCCTCCCCAGCATTTGCCTTTCCTTGAGAATACAGGAAAGTACAGTGGTTCTCAGAGGATACTTCCCTCTGTCTGCCATCCCTTGTGGGGAAGAGGCTTCCTTTTATACCTTATTCCCAGCAACTGAGCTTGACCCAGCAACACAGAGGAAGAAGTGACCTCATTGCATTGAGGGGACAAGGGTATTCCTTCCTCCAAGTATATAGGGGAGGAGTGGTGACAACTCTGATCTCTCCACAGTGCACATGGCCAAGGATGTGCCTTGTCTGTAGATGCTACACAGAGCTGGTTACCCTCAGAAGTAAAAGAAGGGAGCAAGAAGTTGATTCAGTCCCAGAATGGTGTTAGGACTAAATGTTAGACAACAGGCAGATTGTAGGAGTTTGGAGACCTTAATATGGGTGTCCTCATCTTGCATCCTTGTGGTGTCAACAGTGGTAAAGCCCTTGATACCAGAGGCCTGTGCTCGTCTTGGGGGCAGAGGAGCTCCCAACGGACTGAATCTGTGATGGCTTCCCCTGGAGGAGGAAGATGGAGAAAAACAAGGATAGCTTACACACCAGGGCCTAGAGAATGCAAGGAATATAATGGCATAGTATCCACATGGATCCCAAGATGCTGCTCATTTTGTTTAGGAAGAATCTTGACAAAGTAGTGATGGTGATTACTTTGGGGATGTTATTTTTGTGTCTCCAAGTAAATTTTAGATTCTTAAGAACTTTGACCATTAATGTTTTTAAAGAAAATGTACCCAGTGTCCATATGCACATTCAGTTAGAAACTAAATGTGGACTCTTTGGTGACTCAGAGGATGTTCTAATTGAGTAACAGCGTGTGATCTCAGCATACACATGCAGCATGCTAACAAGTAAGTAACTTCTTAGATCACATTTCTTTAGGTTGAGTTGGATTTAAAATGATGTTTAATCTTTGTCCTGGGTAGTAGGAGTAGCAGTCCAATGAACACCTTAATTAGAGTGCCCATTCTGCCAGATTTGCTGTGTGGGGGCCAGGAGTTTCTGGGCAATGGCCATACCTGTCCTGGTGGCTGGCCAGTGTCAAGGATCCCACAGGTGGAATGCCAGAATGAGAATGTATCTCTGCTGGTGACTCTTAGAGTGGGGCTAGGCCTCAGCTGGGGAATTGTGAGCCAGGGCAAAACACCCTTGCTTTCAGGAGTTAGGGCCAAGGTCTACTTGGGTGGGCCTGGCTAAGGGAGATGGTGATTGGGGCTTATTCATGATAATATACTCATAGCATTATTTTCCTGGGGCTGTGTGGGTAGCATGGAACAGATACTAAGGTTTCCTAATCTAGGGAGGAAAGAGTGCATTATGTAAATATACATGGGCCTGTGAGGCCCTGTGTTGTCTTGATAAGGCCTTACCAGGCCCTTAGAGGCTGGCGTGGGAGCCCTCTAGCGGTGGTTATGCAGCCTCAGCTCGGCTTCTCTCCCCATCCCTCCATCCCTCCTATGCTTTGTCCTTGCTGTGGTGCCTTCTCTCCCTCCTAGATCTTTTCTGTAGTTCAGTACTCCAGAAGTCCTACTCTATGCCATGACCTCTTGCTGTACATTTTTTCAAATACAAATTTCCATCTTGACTTTCCTTAATTTTCAGTTCCAAGCTTAGAGTAGTTGGAAGCATTTTGTTCTCACTCTCCTCCTAGGCCCTGGTTGAGCTGTGACGGGCAGCTTTGTGTTTAGGTGGGCTCCCTTTGTATAAGGAGCCATGGGAGGGTGTCAGGTGTCGCAGACCACAGCATGGGTGCCATGCAGGAGATTGTGGGGTGGGTAGGAGAGAGCTGTCAAATCAGCCAGCCTGGATTTAGGGTCCACTTGGAACTGGGGGAGGGATGGCTGGCGAGGTACCTGAAGGCAGGAGCTTCACACTTCTTTTGCGTTTGTGTAGCACCTTTTCGTACTTAATCTGCAGGAGATCAGTCGGTAGTGGTTTCCTTAGTCGGAGACTTTTCTTGGCTATGTTTTTATCTACAGGTAAGATGAAAGTACTGTTTGATTTGTTTTGCCTAGGCTTGTAGGGACTCATAGGTAAAAACTGAAGAGAGAAGTGGATCAGAACGCTAAGACCAAAGTGTAATAAAGGCGACATTGTTTATTTTGACACTTGGGTGCAAGTGAGCTAAGAGCAAAAGGATGTTGGGGGCGTTTAGGGAGGGAGGCCATCTTATGTAGCTGGCCGAGAGGGGGCTGGTTTCTGTCAAGGACCACCAAACTGTTGCTCTCATCAGGGTGTCAAAGATGTTATCTCATGAGACTCTTCTGGCAGGTTCTTCTTATCAGAGTGCCAGCATATTTCTCTCGGATGGTCTATAATTGGGCTGGACAAGCCTGCAGCAAGTCTCTCTCCTATCTAAGTTATGTCCACCTGTAACAAGTGTCTCACAGAATGGCTTTTCAAGATGAGATAGTTTTGCCAACCTAATAGGGATGTAGTAGGTACTACTCACTGAGCAGACATTCTTGGGGTTTTTAATCATCACCATTCAGAAGGACATAGTGCATGTGGTCTGTCCTCTCAAGTCTTCTTGAACACTGACCAGAGATATGTCATTACAGGCTGGGAGTCCTCCACTGGCGTCAACCTCGGCTCCGGTGTCCACCTTCTCTCGTACTTCCGTCACACCATCCACTCAGGACATCTGCAGGTAACAGTCCACTTCAGACGCTATAGTGGTCAATGTGCATCCCAGAAATAAGCATTAGTGTCCGTAGGTTCTTGGATTTCCATTTGCTTGATCACTCTGCCTTTGATCTAAGCAGTTGGCCCAGTTTCATGTGCTGTTTGCTCACAAGTTACCCGCAATGTCCTCCTAAGACCTGGTTGAGCTGTGAGTCTCATTTCTTCACTTTGATGTCTGTTCTCTTCTAAAATTGTTTTTACTTTCTGTGCTTTTATTCCATTGTTCTGCATGCAGTTCCAGTGCAGTGTTTTCTGAGTGTTGTCACCACAGTACCGTGCAGTCTGCTGTTGTCTTGAAAACTCCTCAATGCCAGAGTTCTCTGACACAAGGGCTCACTGTGACAGTTATCTATAAAGACACAGTACAGGCGTCAAAGAGAAATTCCTTTGGTTCAGAATGGGTCCAGGCCTTGAAGCCTGCTAAGAATACCAAAGCCAGAAGAACACTAAAGTTCTCAAAGTCCCTAAACGATGTGGGTGAGAAGGCCCAGGATACTTTGGAAAGTTTTGACTATGTGGAAAGAACTTGTTCTGAAGGAAAATTAATACTCCCTCAAGATCCGTGTCTCAGAATTAACAGGTTCCATCATAAAGAGAAAAGAACACTGATCCACAAACCTCTTGGCAATTCCAAACATTCTTGTGTTTCATCCCTTTCTGCCAATTGTTCAACTGCCTCAGAGGTGGGAGCTGGCAAAGGAGGTGCGCACGTCCCGCTGTTGGATGAGATAGGAGATGTTCGGGCTGTGTCCAGAAGCTGGCAGCTGCTTCGCTATTTGCTGTCCCTGTCCCGTGGCTCGAGCACCGGCAGCCTACACAGGTTCCATGAACTGGAGAGCTGTGCCACCCACCGGCATGCCGCCAAGTCCTCCAGTGGGCTGGCCGGGAGCATGGGCTTCTGCTCTGATGAAATGGGAGATGATGACGTCTTTGAGGACAGCACATCTGCAAAACTGAAAAGCAGGGTCCTACGGGCGCCCCTCTGCTCCACAGAAAAGGACAGCGACCTGGATTGTCCTTCTCCCCTCTCTGAAAAATGCCCCCCCACCTCCCCTGTGTCCATATCAGGGGATGCCTGCAGGTTGGTTTGCCAGGAAGCACTGCTCTGGCCATCTCTGCTCGCACCCCATGTGTCATCTTGCTTTAATATGTGAAGTTTGAGAAAAATGAAGTAATAGGCAGTTGTAGCTAATTTGGGGTTGATGCTTTTCTCCAGAAGAATGGAGTATTGGTATCATTTGAAAAATGAATTTTTATGATATGGGTCTCAAGACATTTTCAAAGATGATACAAGAGGAAGAAGCTCCACATATTAAAGGCCAAGCTAATGCTTCTTAGTTAAAAATAAGTAGGTTCTGTTTAAAGAAATTGGAAGAAGGAAATAGTATCTCTAACTTTCCAGCTTGATGGTCCAGATTTTAAGTACTTACTGCCTTTCCAACCTCTTTTAAGCTCTCGCCCCCCACCAGGTGTGGGGGGAGTGGCTGTCCTCCAGGAGCCCCTCCCTCCCTCCAGCTGTGCCCAGATCCCACCCCCGTCTTACTTGTTCAGCATCCTTGTCTGGCCTCCAGAGTCACTTTCATCACACTCTCATGCCTTCCCCATTCTGACTTTTCCCCAGTTCTCCCCTCCTCATGCCAGCTGTCAACAGGGGATCATAAACCCCTCTCACTAGACAGCCCGAGAGCCTGGCTCCTGTCAGGAGAGGTATCCTTCCCTGTTCTCCAGCTGCAGGAAAAGACCCCTCTATGTCTCAAAAGCTTGTTAAAGGCCCTTGAGGTTAGTAGCTACATTCTGCTGCATGCCTCCTTGGAAATAAGGAATACTTTAAATTAATGTTCATTTACTGCTGTGAATGGTCCTGAAAAAGCAAACGAAATTGCAGCACCTTACAATGGTGAGTTTTTTAGGTCCAGGAGAGGTATCATGATCTTTTGTTTACTCCCTGAGCGGACAGAAATGTATAGGTGTGGTGTGTAAAGGTGAGGTCAGTGTTTATAGCTAAAGGGCAAACGTCCTTACCTTTTAAATCATGGTGGTGTTTTAGAAGGTAGAATGCTTGGTTTGTGTTACATAGAAATTTTCACCTAATTATTTTAACATCTTACATTGTGGAAAATGACTGCTTTGTCATTTCTTGTATCATTTTTCCTCTTTGTTGCCAAATGCCATCCAGACTTTCCATGTTGGTGCGGTAAGCTAGAAACTTTTAGTTTGTAGTCCCTGTCTCCATCTGTGCGTGTATGTTTTGTGCTCATAGTCAGTCACTCTGTGGTGTCCGTTTCTGAAAGTTTTCCTTGTGGGGGGATTGACTTTCCACTAAAGTGTCACCTTCCTCATTGTGGGACCCCCCCTCACATCAACTGCTTTTCTTTCACTGTAGGATCTGCCACTGTGAGGGAGATGACGAGAGCCCCCTGATCACCCCCTGCCGCTGCACAGGGAGCCTCCACTTCGTGCACCAGGCCTGTCTGCAGCAGTGGATCAAGAGCTCTGACACCCGCTGCTGCGAGCTTTGCAAGTACGAGTTCATCATGGAGACCAAGCTGAAGCCTCTGAGGAAAGTACGTGTGAGGAAGAGCCATTCCTAGAGTTGCTTTACCCTCTCTGCAACGAGGGAGCCCAGGAAAGAGTTAGCTCCTCAGGTGGTGGAGCTGTAGCTGGCGTCTTGTGTTCATTTATTTAAAAAGCTGGGACTGTGTTCATGTTTGTGTGGTAGAGATTATTGTTTCTGGTACAGATTTCTAAGTCCCTCCCTTCAGGAAGAAGTTGTTTCTACCATTCATGTGTTTCTTTGTCCTCCAAACTAAGACTGTTTGTGTCGGTCATCGCACCCTTGACCACAGAGCATTCCTGACATATGTTAATTAGAATTTAACTTTGCCTGTGTTAACTGTTCCTAAGACTGTGTGTTAGAGATTAGTGTCTTTCTCCAGCACTCAGCATAGCACAGCACCCTGTAAATTTGCTTGTATACCCCTGTGATAAGCTTTTACTGGATAGAAGAGTGGGCATGCAGCTGTCTTCAGCCCCCCCCATATTTGCTCCCTCTGATAGGAGCTTTGTCCATAGCACTGGCCTCCTGTTTAAACATACATCTCTCTAGATTCCTGGAGGTTTTGTTTCAAAGAATAAAAGACTGTTCCTATCCCAAAACATGAATATATCAATTAAAGGGGGAATCTTGTAATCAAATAACAGTGCATGACAATACCAGTTAAGTGTGAAATTACATGGTGATGGAGCATATCAGACATTAAGAGAAGGAAGTGGTCCTTATGGGCGGGAGTGCTGGGGAAACAGCATGCTGGCAGCGTTACGGAATGTTGGGGTTTTAAAGCACTTCTTGGAGGATCACCAGCATTTGGAGGCAAAGTGAAAGGAATTTAGAGAGGTCAAGTTGTCTGTGGAGAAAGCATATACCAGAAAGGTGAGGGTAAGTGTTTAGGGCTGTCCCTGGGCCAAGCTACACATATCCCAGGAAGTAGTGGGGCCCGGGGATCAGGAACACTAAGGCACTGACTGTGTTTAGATAGAAAGCTGGTGTATAAAACCCCAGCAGAAAGCAGTTGCATGCTAGAGAAAGCAGGCACAGAGCATGTAAAAAATGCTCTGCCCCAGTAAAAGCCTTTTAATGTGTTGGGTACCTGTTCTACACTAACCTCACCAGTGAGGCTTACAGAAATATAAATAGCAATCTGCGAGCCTCTAGCTTCAGCTTACCCTGCATAGACTCGTCTGGACAGAGGCTGTGACGAGGGTTGGCAAAGGATATGCAGAGTGTTTACACTTTGTTCTTTCTCTCTACCTCTATGTGTTTTCTTCTGATTCGGAAACCTGTAAATGAGAATGAAAATCTGGCTATTTGGAATAAATTAATGAGCTCCTAGAGGAGATGGGACTGGCAGAGTCTGATTGTACCAGGAACTCTTAGCATCGGTTTCGAGCTGTTGCTGCCAAAGTAGCAGAGGACCAAAGAGTGAGCGCCTTCTGCCATTCACCTTCACAATGTAGTGCGACCCATCTGCTAGTGTGTTGTGGCATCATCAATCCTCTTTTCCCCACTTGACATGCCAGTCAGCAAGTCAGAGAGGCTTAAAACATAGCCCCCGGGTCTCGGGCCAACATAGTGTTTTCAGCAGGACTGTAACTGTTGACTCTTCTCTCATGCCATTCAATGTCTGTTTGCGAGAATGAGCAGACAAGGGCATTGCAGCTGGTAGTTCACACTCATCTCAATCCCAGCTTCTTTCATTGCATAGAAAGTTGGGTGTGCCTGGTATCTGGTTTGAATCCAAGTGGTTTAAGAGAACTACTTCATGTATTTAGGGAAATTCATCCAGTTTGGGAATGGGGGTGGAGGGTGGAAATCCAGTCTTGCCCATCTGCAGCATCCTCACCCCACTGTAGCCCTTTGCCTTGAGTGCGAGCCTCATGCTGTGCACATTGTCTTTCCAGTGGGAGAAGCTGCAGATGACGGCCAGTGAGAAAAGGAAGATTGGGTGCTCAGTGACATTCCACATCATTGCCATCACCTGTGTGGTCTGGTCCTTGTATGTGCTCATAGACCGCACTGCTGAGGAGATCAAACAGGGGCAGGCGACAGGTGAGTGCTCAGACTGTCGGCTCAGCACAGGGGCCCTGGTGCATACTGGGTCTTAGGACCAGAGCATTGTTCTAGTCGGACCACACACAGCTGGGATTCTGGAGGGGGAATGTCAATTAGAAGGCACCATGCCTCCATTTTGGATATTTCTCTGGCTGTGGTAGTAGTTTTTGAAAACCTAGTCAGAAGAGATCAAATTGTGGAGCATGAGGATCTCCACAAACTGCCTCCTGGAAGAGCAGGATGAAAGGTAGTGGGCACTATCTGCCATCCTTCCCTTAACAGAGCAAGTTTTGGCGGGTGAAGAATCCACTGCTGGGCATCCATATGCCTGTGGGGCCTCCTGAGGCAGGAGCAATGCTCGAGCCAGGATTCACGACTGCAGTGGTGGTGCCTGTGAACAACTACTGCACTTCAGCTTGGGCAGCATAGTGAGACCTTGTCTCTAAACGAATCCGTTGGTTATGGGAAGTTCAGAAATAGTGTTTTATTTATTTCATATCGTAAATAAGATCTACGAATACATAAGTTGAGTTTTTTTTTTTTTCTTTACAGGAATCCTAGAGTGGCCCTTTTGGACTAAATTGGTAGTTGTGGCCATTGGCTTCACTGGAGGACTTCTTTTTATGTATGTTCAGTGCAAAGTATATGTGCAATTATGGAAGAGACTCAAGGCTTATAATAGAGTGATCTATGTTCAAAACTGTCCAGAAACAAGCAAAAAGAATATTTTTGAGAAAACTGCACTAACAGAGCCCAATTTTGAAAATAAAGATGGACGTGGAATCTGTCATTCCGATGCAAACTCTTGTTGCACAGAGCCTGAAGACACTGGAGCCGAAATCATTCACGTTTGATTGTGTGGAGGGTGTAATTTTCCTGGGTACCCATGAAGAGCTGAAGGAAATTGTTTACTGCCAATTGTGTACCTTTCTTATGTCCTTTAATAGCATAGCCTGGGCAGGTGACTATTTTTAGTGGCTTCTCTTTTTCTGAACCCTCCTTAATGAATCTCCTCGAAAGCCCTCCCAGGAGCCAGGTGTGGCTGGGTCCCACCTCTGCCGGGCTGCTCTGTGGAAAGGCAAGGTGGAAAACCTCATGATGCCATGATGGGGAGCCGGCTGGGTTCCTGCTTGTGATCTTGAGCAGAAGGAGAGAATAAAACGCCAAACCTAAGGGAAGAGCAGGAGCAAGGGGCACGGGTCCTGATGTGTGGCCTCTTCCAGCTGCAGCATCCTAGCCCCCTCAGCCCTAAGGAGAGCCTTTCCAGACACGACCTCCTGCTCACCTCTGCTGATGCTGACACTGACACCTTAGCTGTCATGCAGGCGGTGCCTGGTGCTCTGTGCGTGGTGGTGTGTGATTCACTGAGCAAACAGCACTTTACAGAAGAGATTCTTTATTTTGTGATACCTGTGTCCAGTGGGATTAACACTTAAAGAGCCTCTCTTTTAGAAATCTTCCCTTTGTTGCCCTTGTTATCTCTTTTACAACATAATAGATCTAAAACCCTTTTGGCCTTATATATGCTAAGAAGTGTGAAATTCACTCTGTGTCTGTAAGATAGACTTGTGACTTTAAAGCAGGGCAGACAGGTCTGAGGCTTTTTCATAACATGTTTCATGGGAATTAATGGATGTTAAATGGCAATTAGAGCATAATTCCTATGCTTTTAAGCTGGTTTTATGGCAAGTCCTATTTCATAAGCCTGCCCTGTACATTTCTTTGTTGTCAACATTGAAAAAGAAGGGTTTTTAAGATTTAAATGGAAGTCAAGGAAGTAATTAAAACAAAGTTGAATATTTAAAAAATATTCCTTTATAGAGACATTTCTCCCATTGGTCCTGACTTCACGCTGAAGGAGCAGCCACGTGCCATCCTGGTCGGGGTGTGTGTGCTGCAGGTGCTCCGAGGCACTGGCCCGCCATGCAGCCCTGCTCAGGAGGAGGTTTTGTGTAGTCACCACCGAGGGTTGAGAGGCAGGTGTGCTGGCTCTGGGATGAGGATCAGGCGTGAGCAGCAGATTGTACCCAGCCACCTACCTGCTTGTCTGTCGCCTTAACCAGACTGAACAGACAGGATCCTTTAAGGGCCCTTGGCCCCACTCTTGGTCCGTTCTTTTGTCAGGGATTATCTCCTGTACTAGTTTCATAAAACAAACAAAACCAAAATCGCTACCATCAAATGGCCTTTGTCCCTTTAAAAAATCTGCTTAAAATTCTGTTTTTAAAACCCAGTTTCATAGTACCAGGCAAATGAGTCAACTCTGGGAATGTATACCACAGTGTGAGCAGACCACATGCTTTCTCCCCGTATATTCCCATCCAGCCGGCAGGCAGGGGTGGTGAGGTGCCGCGGGGTCTCCCTTTACTCTCTCTCAGAGCCTTAGGTACTTCATTGTCCTGTGGAAAGGAGTAAGCAAACATGAGATGATTTCTTTGCCTTTCAGAGTGGAAATCCTGTGTTTGGTTCCGTGGTGCAGGAGGGGGTTGGAGGGTCCGTAAGCATTGTGCATGGGCTTGTGGTAGAGGCTTTGTCCTGCTCTCTTCACCCGCCCAGTGTCTGATTCACTGGGATCACCGCTGAGAAGGCGCTGTCCAGCCATAGCTGACTTCTGAAAATAGGTCAGCCTGTGCTCTCTCCCACACCATATCCAGCCAGTGCCTGTGTTCACTGTGCCCCAAAGTGCAATTACCCATGATCCTTCTTATCCTGGGACACAAGGCAGCCACAGACTGTCCACTCAGGGGAGCTGGATCCCAGGTCAGCCTTGCCACTGCCTCTTAGGAACTGCCCAAGCAAGGCCCCTGGTTTTGTACACTTGTCCCTGCCACCTTCCCAACATGGGTGGTTAAAGCGAACACTGAGATAGTGTGAATTCTCCCTCCAACCCCATGGAACCTCTTATGCTGAATTCAGAAAGCACTGAGACTTTCCCTAAACAGGACTGTGCTGAGATAGGAGTATCCCTGGGCAACTCACCCATTGTGACTGGCACCCCCTTATGGCAAAGGCACTTTTAGTATTGTGCAAAATTGTCTCCCTTCGTTTCAGGAAGGCCTGACACCATCTCATTATCTTTAGCCACTCTGGACAGTCTTTCCACATCCTTCTTTCCCCTCCTTGTGGGGCATGCAGCTCCCCCACCACACACATACAACCTTTTCCTACAGGTTCTAGTTCAGCACCTCTAACCCATCAGACCCCTCAGTGACTGGCAGTGGAAGCCTGGTGGGGATGCTGTGCTGCCACCTAGTGGGGACACAGTATCTGCCAATAGTCCTTTAGTCGGCATAAACTTGCCAAAACTTGCCAAGTTCTTTTGGGGTGGCTATTTATTCCCCAGTTACCCCCACCCCACCCCCATTTTGCACTTGGCTTTAGTGGGAGGATGACATTTGGTTAAACCATATAGAAACCCAGGATGATGGGCTGGGTGCAGTGAGTCACTCCTGTAATCATATCACACCAGGAGGCTGAGGAAGGTGGATTGCTTGAGCTCATGGGTTCGAAACCAGCCTGAGCCAGAGCAAGACTCCCATTTCTAAAAATAGCCAGGTGTTATGGCAGACACCTGTAGTCCCAGCTACTTGGGAAGCTGAGGCAAGAGAATCGCTTGAGCCCAAGATTTTAGGTTGCTGTGAGCTATGACACCACGGCACTGCCAAGGGCTATAAAGTGAAACTTTGCCTCAAAAAAAGGAACCCAGGATGAGGTTTTAGGGCCAGGGAAGGGGAAGAAGCAAGCAGTCTCAGGTGTGTCAGCAGCCAGCCCATTCTCTGATTTGGCCTTTCCCCCCATAAGTCGTAATACCACTTCCAGGCTTCTGATTTCAGTGGTTTTTATGTACAAGTTTATAGTGGGAATTTCCTGGAAATCCTGTAAAATGTCTCTTCCTAATCCATTTCTCTCCCTTTTTTGCTTCTATCCCTCTTTTCAATCGTACAGGCCTAGTTTCCACTTGAACAGGTGCCCGACCTGGTCACAGGTGTGTAGGCCCCCAGTGGCTGGGCCAGTTTGGGAGCCTCTGGTGATGTCTGCATAGTTTCAGCTGCTTCTGAGGCCCTGGGGTGGGCTGTAGGGCTAGAGGAGGGCCAAGGAAAGCAGAGTGAGATTCCCAGCCCTGTGGACATGGATGGATGCAAATACATTTTAAATACTTTCCCTTCTGAATCTGGTTTGAAATGTGCAGCTTCCATCTCTAGCCCAAAGAGAGACCGAAACACAGGGAAATAAAAAGCATTTATCTTTGTTTTGGAGGTAATTGTTCAAGTTGTGCACCTGATCAAGGCACATTTAGTTGCAATGTTTATAGAAAGTTGATTGTTAATAAAAACCAAATTTACACTGGCATGTGTGGTGTAGTTTCTAAAAGGCACTTCACATTTGAAATTTTTCTTACCTTAGAAAGTTTCTAGTTACCTGAATGTCTAGTTTTGTATTCTTTTATGTATGTTCACTGTTTCTCAGTATTGCCACTTGAATAATTCTGTGTACCAAGGGTTGTTTGTGCTATACACTGGGGTGTCTAATTGCAGCAATAAAGCTTTTCTTTAAAAAGGAGTTTTGCCATGAGAGTGTTTTCTGCTAGGAGCCTGGGGATGCTGGCAGGCATTCTAGTGGCCATGACCACCTTTGTCTGGCTTGTCTGGAAAGAATATCATGTGGCCTCTGGTGGTGTATTTTCCTCAGCCCGTCCCTCAGACACTGGTGTGTTGGGAGGTTGGTGTCTGAAGAGTCTGTGGGATGGAGATGAGAACTGAGGCATCTCATAAGGGTGTGCTTGCTTCAGACTTCCAGGCTCACCTACTTGGGCTGGCTCACTATTCTTGGAGAAGTTGGACTCTGTGTGTGGCAAATGGTCATGGCTTGATTGTGAACTAACCTTATCTGTGGAAACACATTTCCTGACCCACAGTCTAGCTGAGTAGGAGAACCAGGGAGACCAGCAGGGTTGCAGGTGGCAGCTCAGCCAGGTTGCATCTCTCAGCTTCTGGGGGGACTTCCCTGAGGGATGGTAGTACCACTGATCCTCAGGCTGCTGCAAGCCGCTCCTGGGGCTGGGAGTGCTGGCATCCTTGTCGAGGTTCGAGGTTGTGGGAGGGAGGCCAGGCTTTCCTAGGCGTTCTGTAGCCTCAGAAGGTGGGTCTAGAGAATCCTTCCACAGTGTGGAAGCCTATGGCAGACATGAGAGCTAAGAACAAGGATGCTTTTGTGGAGACAAGGTCACAGCTGAGTTTCAGGGGACAGGACGCTCCAGCTCCAAGTGGAGATGGGTCCACAGAGCTGCTGACCTTGTGTGGGGATAGCCCCAGGGCTCAGTGGTGAGGAGTGGAGCTGGAAGGAGAAGCTGCTCCTGTGTGAAGATGAGGCCTGGGGCTCCAAGAGGAACCGCTGGGTTTTTTCAGGAATGTCAGGATTTTGTCCGAAGGGCACAAGGTACAGGTAGACCAGGCCTTCCTGCCCTTTGCCCCCAGCTGCATGGTGGTGTATAGGGCTGCTGCACCTCTGGGGAATTTCTTGGTAGTAAACTACTGCTCAAAAGCAGCCTCCTGTTTCCATAAATAAACTTTGATTAATGTGCTGCCATTGTCTGTTCATTTAGGTCGTATCTACAGCTGACTTCCTGCTGCAGTGGCCAAATCAGATAGTTGGAACAGATTGGCCCTCAAAGCCTTATTTACTGTGTGGCCCCTCATATTAAAAGTTTGCCAACTCTTGGTCAATATGAATTGTGCCCCAGAGTAGTTGGTGCACATCCATGTGATGGCTTAGTGACAGAGGTGTTGACGAGCTCCTCTCAAGGACCTCAAGTGTCACTGTGACCTGGAGTCTTCCCACACATGCATGGCATTTCCATTCGGGTACTTGGGCGTAGC